TATCAACAAGAGCATCTCATGACCATCTCCTGATCAGGAATCGTGAGGTCGGGAGAAAGTCAAACATGTTTGAAATTCAGTCGGCCATCACGAGGTGGTCGTGGATAAATCGCTCAGTGTGAACGAAGATTCTTCTTCTTCCTCTCAGACAAAAACAGGAGCATGGTGGGGGTGTGAGTGAAATGGAGTTCTTTCTATAAAATTGACAGAACATATTTGTATGAAGCCAGATCGGTCTCAATTTTCACAAATACACGTGATTAGTACATGCACAGGACAAGATCCACACATGCACAGAACAATTCACACAAGCACCCAAAAATCCACACACACACACACACACACAATACTAGATCCACACACCCCCAGCACGATCCAAAAAACCACACAAGATCAGCATGCACAGAACAAGATTCACCAAATTATTTCTGGCCCAGAAACAATTATAAATGAAATAACAAAATACCAGTGGTCTTTAAACTTCACTGCATTTGTGTGTGGATTTTTGAGACTGCCCTGAAATGCCTCGATACACAAAATCCTTTTTTAAGCAGGAATGGTTTGCTACCAATCATAAAACTCCTGTAGAAGCCAAACACAAGAAAGTACTCCACGTGGGATGACCCCCCAGATCCCACTTCTTCTGTATCTGCCCCGCTCCTTTCCAGACCGCCTGCGCAAAGCAAAGCCTACGTCCTCCTACATCCGCTCCGACTTCTTTGGAGCTCGAGGAGAGCATGTGCTATATTATTTCTTTCATAGGAGAAAAACATGAGGTAATGAGCGCTTAATTTAATAAAAAAAATTATTAAATCTTACTATCTGCATCAATCATACCTGCTTCTGCCCAAACATTTGTATTGTGCGTGTCTGGATCTTGTACTGCGTATGTATGAGTCACAAATGTGTATTTGTTAAAATTGAGACCGATCTAGCTCCATATTTTTGTGCAGCTATGTCTTTGTCTAAATACATCAGCGCCTTTTATTTTTTAGGATTTTCGGCACAAAAAAGGCAGAGCGTTTCACTGTAGTGAGCTTCATATTCCTCTTCTATTTGTTTGGCTTCCGTATAGACGAGTCCGAGTAGCGCCATCTCACAGCGGAGCTGAGTCCGGCGTGGTTATTTAGATGTGCAGTGTGAGCAGGTAGATCGCATCAGAGGGTTGGGCTGCACAGTGTGAGAACACATCGTGAGCTGTGAACTGTATGAGGAAATCGCAGGTTTTCGTCGTACAGTGTGAGCTGTAGCTGCATCCAACAATTGAAAATATAACACAGCGTATGCCCGGTTTAAACCACCCCATTGCAGCTCTGGCTGTATGTTCAGTATCCGGACAGTTTAGCTCTACCCCTTTTCTTTTTTTTTACCTGCCAACCAACTTGTTGACAGTTTTTCCTGCGATTACTTCCCTCTATATTTATATCAATTCCGACCAGTTTATGTGTCTGCTGAAGGAAGGCTTTCCCACAACATGATCCTGCCTCCTCCGTGTTCTCATCTGGCACATTACTTTCTCAAAGTGTAAAGTGTTAATATATCCTATTGCTTTCTTATAAGATGGTTAAATTTCCTCTTAAGCATGGTTTGTGATGTGTGGTTAGTTTGCTGTTTACTTTTTTATTTTAGATCAGGAGAAAATATCGTTCATTTTCCCTTTTTTACTCAGAAGCGATTAATTATTTTAGGTTAGATCCTCCAACAATATCATATATATTTATGTTTCTTTGGGTCCCAGTTAATCCTCACATTTCCAAACTCTGGAAATAGATCTGTTACTTTCATTAATCTTGTGGCTTTCACCCAAACCACACCTACAGATGGCTACTTCATTTTGTTTTTATTATGAATCAAACTTTGATGTGCACAGAAGCCTCATCTTACCATTATGCTCAGGTTGCATTTAGGCCTGGGGCTTGTTGAGTTTATTTTTTTACTCCCATCACAAGTCAGTCGGCTAATTAGAAATCCGTTGAGCAGAAAGATAAACCTAATGAATCAGTAACGACAGGTATTGTATAATCAGTGTTATCTACATGGTTTGGATTCTGCCCCTGAGCTGTAGTAACACAGCAGTGAAACTGCTCTATAGATTGGAACCTGAATCATAATCCAATATTTACCCAACCTGTATTTCCCTCTAGGTGGTATCCATTTTCCACAATGCAATATATTGTGCATTGTAAGTAAAGATGTGCTTGATTTATGAGAATCCATGCAAACTCTGTGTTTAGAAGCTGTATAATTAGCCAACACTAACCGGTCATTATCGAAACCTTCTGGAAGACGTTTTCTGCTAACTGTTTATGAGCTGTCAGTCAGAGCTCCTTGCGCCATGCTGCCTCTTTTTGGTCACCTGATCTCCATTTATGTGGTTAAAGACGTTTATGTTGTTAGGGGAACAATTGAACATCTGTGTGTCAAGATGAGCGAGTGCTGAAAGAAGAGAAAATGATGGAGGGGAAAGAGGAAGGTAGGGTCAGGCAAGAGGGTACGGGATCGTTTCCCTCACAAGGACTTCTCTTTTACTTAAGGTATTTCCTGTACAGCTGGAGGAAACTGAGTCAAATGACGTTTAACATCATCAGTCATTTTCCTGGTGGATGCTATATTGAAGAGAAAATATAGAGTGATTCCTCCTCTAATTTAAGCTTAACTCAATGTTTCTGCACCTTTTCATTAAGGTCACACATTCAGAAATGAATTGTCTTCCTTTATATAGAGCCAGAACACATTTACAGTAGATTTCTAGTATTTAGCTTGTTTATAATGAGGAGGAGGGGATCACCAGTGGAGTCTTCCTGAATAGTTAAATGTGACCTCAAAAATACGGTTAATAGGAGGAAGCATATCAGACCCCTGGGCTATTTGGCCACGTTCACACTGGAGCCTGAAGTGACCCAAATCCGATTTTCTTTTTCTTTTCTTTTTTTTGCTCATTTGCGACCTGGATGTGACCTTTTCATGGCAGTCTGAACAACACATATCCGATTTTTTTCCAATCCGACCCAGGCTACTTGGCTATGTGGTCCTGAATCTGATACAAATCTGATCTTTTCAAACGCAACCTGTGTCTGAACGGCCAGGTCTGATTCATCCCTCTTGAACGCCATTCATACCTGACAAAGGTCACTATTCTGCGTCTTGCTACGCAGAAGCGGCAAGAAAAACAACAACCATGGCAGATGATGATGCGGAGAGCAGTATTTATGTTTAAACATGTGAAAAGATTTAGTTTTTATGGTTGGAAAAGATCGCTAGATGCGCGCCGGCACTACCATCCATGTTTACTTCCTTAAACATAGAGCATGCTGGCCTGTGACGTCATCATGTCCTCTACTGCGCATGCGGGACACTTGCATTGTATGACTGCAGTTCACACAGGAGATCACATACAAGTCGCATATATTTGGAAATATAAATGGCAATGCAAAAAAAAATCGGATTTCACAAAAAAAATCAGAAATGAGCATCAAGGCCTGCAGTGTGAACATAGCCTCGATGAGGGGTTTCAGCACCCTTCCCATTTCTATGGATTACATAGAGACAGGACAGCCACAGAGAGCTTTAATCCCTCTGCAGAGTGCTGGTCTGTTAGATCTCCAGACGCCTTAACTCAGACACGTTTCTCCTAAAAACCCCACCAGACTAATTAACTTATCAACTAATATTTAAGCCAAAGACTTCTCCTTCACAGCTCTCCTCTTGGGTGGCCATTCAGTCAAACACTAATGCAGAAACATCCAACTAAAACATCATTACTCTTCATCTGCCCTCCCAGCTTTTCAGTATTTGCTTTTGTCGCTCTTTTTTTTTTTTGTCTTTTACACATTTCTTAGCTTCTGACAAGTAAATTAATCAAACTATTGTGAGCTACAAGCTGAAACACAGCCGGAGAGAAAGAGCTCCATGACATATGAAGATATAAAGTCTCTGTATTTATGCCACCATTTATTACACAATAAAAAAATTATATATGTATATATATGTGTACGGTATATATAGATATATACACTGAGAAAAGGAACAAAGCAGGATTTAAAATGGAGACAGTGGGATGTTTTTTTTTTAAACCAATTTTTTGTCTCTGCTTAGTTTTAATCACCGTTTTCAATGTGATCGTATCAAATGAGCCTCAAAAGAATGAAGAAACTTTTTATTTTAGGTGTTTGGGAGCAAACTGGCATGCAGTTTGTTTTAGTCATCATAATAAGACTCTGTTTCAGGATGGACTAGTTGTGCACATCTCAAAGTAGTGTCATAAAAGATGTCAATTCTGTATGTTTTGATGTCTTTGTTTAGAGAAAGGTAAATACCCTGCGGCAGCTCTGAGAAACCACAGTGTTTGGGAAGGAATCGGTTGCTTGAAAGCTCTGTAATTCTCTGTAATGGCACCTATTCTAGACTTTTTACAGTTCTTGTAACGTAATACGCTGGATTAGTAACACAAACACTGATGGGTGCTCTGTGATGGAGTAATTCTCTTGTTTAACTTAATCTTCACAGCGTCTTTAATTCATTCTTGTGATTTTTGCAAACAATGCAGCCTCTGTCTTTCATCCTTGGAGTTCAGGAGAGCTGTTTTTGTTACACTGCTTATCCTAAAGACTTGTCTTTTTTCGTTACGTGCCTCTATGTGCACCGGGACCATTAGAGGTTTTATGTTTCTCATTTAATCTGCCCGTGTGTTGCAGTGGGGGCACACGTTTATGCTCTTTGTGCATCTTGTACTTTACAGTGTTTGTTAAAGTGCTGGCTCTGCAAAAAGGAAGCTTTTGGTGTGTTTCTCATTTCCTCCAGGGCTTATAAACACTCTGATAAGTAAACAGATCTATGTAATGGTTCAAACTGCTGACTTATAACCGGTGTGTCTTCTGCAGACTGAAGAAGCAGCTGATTCTGACCTCAATATAACTGCATGCAGATTTTAATCCCATTCATGATGCCAGCTAAAAGATGAATCCTAGCAATTGACCACCTGTCTCCTCTGTCACCCTTAGGTTGCTCCTATGTCTGGTAGTCTGAACGGGGAGCTCCTCTCATCCTCTGGTCTCGCCGGCTCCACCTGTATCTCCGAGTTGCCGCACTCCCAGAAGCCCATAGTGCGGGCCAGTCTCTCCGTGGCTCAGGCTGACTACCCCGAGCGTCCAGAAGTCGCAGTGAGACGGGAGACTGGCTCCTCTACGCTTCCTCTACCCTTGAAAACTGAGGTGCCGCTCCACCTCTTCAGCACCACTAACCAGCAGCACAAACCGGTCGGGGTGCAGCAGCAGATCCCCACCAAACTGGCAGCAATCAACAGCGGTAAAGGGAAAGGAAGCAAAAGTGGGAAGGCGTCGCATCGCACAGACAGCTCCAGTAAGGAATTGAAAGAGTTGCTCGTTCACTCGCCATTAACTTTGTCACACAAAGCTTAGTGCAATATAAGCCCCAATTGTTTTGTGGAATGTGAAATATTTTAAGGTTGCAAAGATTTCTACAAATCTAATCTACAAATGAGATAGTTTGCCAATGGAATTACTATTTTTACTCTTGAAATAAGATAATAAGATAATATGCACTTGAAATAAGACAGTGCAATTGTGTTTTCCTATTTTAAATGTAAATAGTCTTGTTCCTTTGGCAAAATTACTCTTTTACCTCATCAATCCAAGAGCAAATGCACTTATTTTAAGAAGAAAATTACTTTTCTAGATTTCTATTTTTTCCAGGGCAATGCTTTTAGAAGGTATGTATTTAGCAAATGGACTCCACTTGTTTATTCTGTGGAGTGAAATCAGAGCTAAAAGGAAAATGTCTTCCTAACAGCATTTTTTATGCTCAGTTTTGACAACAGTGAGACCATCAAAGCTGTCCGCCTGTGGGAAACGTGGATCTTTATCTGAGAGGCAAACAAGTTTTGAGTTGTTCTTTTGAAATGAGCCCAAAATATGTTGAAAGGAATGTTATGGGATTCATGTCTGCGCTTGTTTAAAGTCACATTTAGAAACGTGTAGATTTTTCCATCTTTGCTTCCTTTAAGAAGTGGTCTGCTTCCAGTAATAAGGGGAAACCAACCAGCGTAGAAATGCATGAACAGAGCTTCCTTTGTTCATTTCTGAAATTTCAGAAATGACTTCTTCGTCCCTATTAGAGCTCATTAGTTGTCTAAATTAGTTTTCCCCCTTCAAATGATCACAATTACCCTGTGAAAAGCTTCGCTGCTCCAGATTAGCAGTGAAATCCAATACCCCAATCAAACCAGTATTGTTTCTTTTGTTTCTCCTCCCACTCCTTTTTGAACCCTCCTCCTCTTCTAGCCTCGGTGGACATGAAGCAGATGCTCCCCCTGAAACTGTCTGCAAGAGAGGACAATGTGCTGAAGGCCAAACGCTCCATCAGCCCCCATCAGCAGCCAGTTCAGTCCCACTCCCTGCATCACCACTCAGGTATCTTTCAGTCATAGTAGGACAAACACAGTGATCCGTGGCCTCATTTATTTAAACAAAAAAAATATGGGAAATTCGTATAATACTGTCATTTTTAATTGTTTAAGTCTTTGACTGTAATGCTAGGAGCAGCATCCATTATGGAAACTTTAAATTATTTTCTGTCCCTGAAAGAAGGAGCAGCCTGAAAGCATACAAACAAACAGGATTATGGGATTTATTCAGTCAAATGTGAAATATAACCAATTACAAACATATTGCCTGAAATCCTGAGCTGTTAAACACCATTTTACTCCACTGTGGACAAATGATAAGATCATTTTCCTGCAGTGCATCTTAACTTGGTGTTAGTTCTCACGGTTACAGACTGGATTGTACGTTCCTCACCTGGACAAACCGGACCCGCCCTGTGGCATTCCTCTGTAAAGCTCACATTAACGCCAGCCTCGCCCTGTGTAAACACCCATCAGTTCCTCATCCTTCCCTTTGACAAATGGCAGGCTCTTCTGCTTACACAGACCTTTTAATCCCGTTCTCTCACAATGACTCACAATAAAAATCATTGGGAAAATCACATGTGATTAATTTCAGTTTAGGTAGATTACCTGAAATATGCTGAAATAACACTTCATCATTTCTCGATTAATTGTCCTCTAATGTTTTTATTTCTATGATTTTATTATTCAGATCAGCTCAGTCCTCCAGACCAGGCTGGGTTAGACAGCCAGCCCACCTCCTCCATCAGCTCCTCCTTCCCACCTAATGTGCAGAAGCCGCCGGTGGCTGGTGTGCAGCCCTATGCACCCTCCTCTGCACACCTTCTCCACTCTCAGAGTGCTGACCCCATCTTGTCGCCCCCCCACCTGCAGCCACGCAGCCTCAGCCCAAGCGCGCCACTCCCACTGAACCTCCATGGAACTGGTCACAGCGCAACGCCACCCTACACCATCCCTGCAGAAGAGCTAAACAAGGAGGATGTCATTTTTTTCTAAAGAAGCCGCCCAGTCAGAAACATGGGCCATTTAAAGGAGAACCATAGTTTTTCTATCAGTACACACACAGCTTTATGCAGAGAATTGTCCAACTTTTTATTCAGTTACCGATTTTTAACCTTACTACTTCACACTTTTATCCAAACTGCCTGTAAAGTTTATTTAATTTTTAGTGATACATGCTTAAAACATTGGATGCCAACACATCATCAAAGGAGTCCAGCGCTGAGTTCTTATTTTTATCATTTTTATTCATCCCAAAGGCACAAACAGGATCTGACTGAAAGGAGCACTATGAAGGAGCATGTTTGTTTTTTTTTGTCTTTTCCCAACTAGGAGTAAAAATCAATGAAGGAGAAGCGGTAAAATCAGAACTCCATAATGAAGTCATCCAGCTCTGCTTGAAGTTTCATTTGCACAAAAAAAAAAAAGACAAAAAATCCTTTCTAAAAAAATTTAAGAATAATTTTATGGGAAAAACTTTGTAAAAAGTTAATTGTACAGCTTTGAAGATAGTAAAGCTCGATTGCAATTTTTGATACTTGTCTTAATTGTGCTTAAAAAAAGTGTTGAATTGTTGATTTTCATCAACATTGTGGCTATTTTTAAAATCTCACTAATATTAAACCATGTCAGCTAAGGGAGAGTTTATTCTTTAAGCAAAGTTTGTAAATACGTGAAACAACTTGAGGAAAGCCTTACTGAAGCGAAATGCGTCAATATGTCTAGAGTTGTTCCTGGTTTTAATGATAAATAAACTGCTAATCCTCTTCTGCTTCAGTCGAAATGCCTTCTATAATTGTTTTCTTTTTACATACGGCAAATTTTCAAAATACGGTTGGTTTGCTTTGCAGGTTAGGTAAAAGGCCTCACCAAGAATTAAAAAAGAAAAACTCTTCTTGTCTTTGTGTTGCCAGTTATATCGGACCTCTAGTCTGCTTTCCAGACTGAATATCTTTGTGCTGCTTTTCATGCTGTGTCTGCTTCCTGGATGGCTTTTCAAAAAAGAAAAGTTCATCACAGACAGACAATGACCAACCAAATAAATACACAAACATCAATCTTACAGTGAAATGAATATGTCCGCAAGGCAGAGATGCACCGATTTAAGATTTTGTGACCAGTTTCTAAAAGTTTGCACCAAAAATAATTTCTGTTTAAGAACTGAAATTAGAAGACATTTAGGAACACTGGAATGTGTGGCCTTATTGCGACGCATCTTTTAATTTATTATGAAGGAAGCTGAGGCATGAACGCAGCATTTCTGAGGGATCAGTTGCTGTGAAACAAGATTTTCCTCTTTCAGAATAAAAATAAATGATCAAGGAGTGTAACTGTAGAAAGTCTTGTTAGCATTTACTCTCTTTAATTCAGATTTTTACAAATGCTGCAGATAATAATCCAGCGTTTCTTAAAATGATAAACAGATGTACCTCCTTCAGTGCACTGAATATGTCCCCAAGTCCTGCTCTCTTTTGCAGCTGGAACACATTTTTCAACTTGTCTGAAGAATGTTTCCTTTCATTAGCTTTTTGCATTTCTGCTCTCTCAGATTAAGTATCAAACATCAAACATGAGTTATCTTATTAACAAAATCTACACTGTAGAGTGTTTTTGAGAGAAAGACTTGGTAACATTAACAGTTGATGATTTTAGCAGATTGGAAAATAAAGCTGGTTAACAAATCAGGAGAAATCAGATTAAGATGACAGAGATCAGTCATTTCTGGACTTCTTGGTGCATCTCTGTTTTTTGGAAACATATTTTAAAAGAACAGCATCAGTAGATGCTTGTGTTTGAGTCTCCTTATTCATTTCAAGTCTGTGGACCAGATTGGTACTTTAAAATTTTAAAGTCCTGTAGCCAATTATTGTTGTTAAAGAAATGGGTTTCAAGGTTGGTTTTTCGGTGTGAATCATGGAAAGATTAAAACTCACATTGGCGGTTTTACTGCCAATCGATCATTTTTCATCTAATGGAGCTTTTCATGTTAAAAAAAAAACTTACAGATAAAGTCCAACTTGAAAAGAAGATGATGTTAAGCTTTACTGCATTTTTTGTACCCTGAAGTCTGAAACTAAGCTCACAATGTTAACACCGTTTTCTTTTTTTTTTTGTATCATGAATATTTCTGTACATATGTTTATGATCTACGGCATTTGCTGCCCTCCTTTTGCTTAATTTGTCATGAAGCTGGATGTGAAAACCAAGCAGAAGTCTGTTTCTGTATGGTGTGTATCACGGTTCAGTGCATCTGTGGACACTCTAGGCAGTTAGTGAAACCATAATCATTTGTTGCTGTAATTTAACTGAAACCGAAGGCAGGTTTTTTGTTTCTTTTGGTTCTATCTCCTCACATTTGTTTATGTTGTTGGATTGAAGTCCGTGTCTACTGTGTGTTGGCTCTCTGGTACGACTCACGACCGAGGTTTCACCAAGGTTATGCATCAGCTAAAAATATAATTGTCTTATTTTCTTAGTGGTGTAAACCAAAGACACATTTGGCTGGCTCTGTTCCACTCTGTCGGCTTACATGAAGGGTTAAAGACTCTGCTGGATGTGTGGTTATGCACAAGGTGTATTTACTCGCATATAAATAAAAAAACCTCCAGTGAGTGTCAATAACGATTGTTTACAACATTTTGTTGTCCGGCTCACATCCTGCCTTAGGTTAGTTTGTTTGGAAACGTAGGCCTCCTCTGCCAGATCACTCTTCATGTAGTAGATGTGTTATAAACCAGTTGGATGTCAGTGGGAACAGTAGGCATGGGCTGGAAAGATTTTCTCACATTATATCCTGGAAAATGGTTAAATATGGTTTTATGGCTGATTGCTTCTATAATCATTAGCATTATATACTTTGCTTTGATACAAAGATTAAAGAACTTAATGTTGGTTTCCAATTGCTAGCTGCGCTGCAAGATAGCCATATTTTGCTGTTCTGCTCATTATAAAAAAAAAAAACAAGCATTATAAGCCAAGCTGCTCAGAGAATCAACCTTAACTTAAAAACATTACATTGGTAGCTTCCCAACAGCGTAAAAAAAAAGGCATTTTCTTAATATAAATGATAGGTGGCTCTCTTTGTGGTTTTTAGTTTTTTTAAGAATTTTTCTCTTTTTTGTTGTTGAAAGCATCACTTTCAGCACACTAATAGGTGATCAGCATTATGCTATACTATTTACTGCTAGAGGAAACAATAAGCTGTTTAAAGGTACGATGTGACGTTTTAGTCTATCTTTTTTAAACGGTTCAACCAGAACCCGGCCCATGCCTACTGTCCAGAACTCCACAACTATGATTTGATTTCTCTCTTAAAAAAAAACAAAACGCTTGTTTATAGATGTATGTTTGTGCATTTTAGACAAAAGGAACCAATTTCCAAGCTCATTTAAACTTTCAAGGGCCTCATCCCTGATTTTATTTTTGGGCAAAACCAGCTTATAAATGGTGGTACGTGTTGTGATGACAGAGATGGGATGTTTTTGTCAAATGTTTCTTCATGATGAAATAATATTAATGGGTACGTTTTTTAACTCTGAAGCCGACGGATAAACTTGTGTAAGAGCACTTTAGCTTTGCTCAACCTAAGCAGGTTAGAGGCTCCCAGCAGGTGGCGCTGTTCTGATCAAATGAAGTCTTAAAAGTTGCATCGCTGCACTCGAACGCTCATTATGCTGTCGGTCGCATCACTGTGTTGTTGTTTTTTTCCTCTGTCTGTGCTACAAAGCAGAATAAGCAGTTTAATCTGTTCATGCACTCTCGTTGGACCTTTTTAATGTGTAAATAATCACGCAAAAATATTTTATTTCCTCTGCCAATTTTTACACTAGTCACTTTGGATAGTAGCATACTTGAAGGGTATAATAAATGATTATGATGTCTGTTTTCTGTGAACGTGTTTGTATCAATTCTTATGACGTCTGTAGCACACGGCTAAAAATGATTTTTGTACCTTTTTTTTGTCTTATTCACTGCGTCACATTAGAGACCTGTGAGCACAAACTGCTGCCTTAGACACACCTAGTAATAAAAAGAAATCAAATGAAGATTTTTGTCTGATTTATTCTATTTGCGTGGACGGTGGGGATTAGAGTGCCCTCTTGTGGTGACCCGAGAGTATGACATCTTTCTTTAACTACTTCTACACAACATAACATTGAATTTTTCTTAAGCAAAAATGCTAATATAATGTTAAAGATCAGGTTGTTAAAGAGGGAAATAAAAGAAATGCTTCTCCAGCCTACTGCTGACATTTTGTTATGTTTTATAACATTTCAAATTATTACACCAATAGTTCACTCTGGTAGCATGTATAGATTTTCTAAAAATGATTGCGTCATTCTTGCAGGTTAGTTGTTTTATTTTTGTTTAATGTTTTACACTGTTTTTGCTGAGTTGTTTGGTAAATAAAGCCCTACTTTGTGTATTTACCATAACACCACGCTACCATAGGTAAAACATTGCACATGTGCATAACTGGCAGCGAAGCAAGAAAGTCTGGAGCTCTCACTGGAGTTGTGAAGATAATAAAGAAAAGTCCAAGATGTGTGGGAAAAAAACAAGCATAAAAAGATTCCAGAAGGGAGGCGACTTGAATAACGCTTTAACGAGCTAAAGCTGTGGAGGAATTAAGCTGTTGCTGTGAGTAAATGTATTTTTTCATACTAGTGTTAGGAATAGTATGTTAACCTTTTAGCCTGAAGTACAAACATTATACACTGATTAATTTAAATGCACAATAGGGGAACAGTTTTCTGTCATATAGATGAATATAGATTAAAGTTCAGATTCTATTCACGTCTCATCAACAATCCACTTAACAGGAAATAAAAATGTAATTTAAACTATTTCTTAATTCTTTTTCCTTGCCATGATTCATCAGATCTTGGAGTACTGCGTTGGTCTTGGTCCACGCTGATCGGTCACTTTGGCTACGTTCACACTGCAGGCCTTGATGCTCAATTCAGATTTTTTTGCGTGCGACTTCTATGTGATCTCCTGTGTGAACTGCAGTCAAACAACACGTGTCCCACATGCGCATTAGAGGACGCAATGACGTCACAGGCCAGCGTGCTCTTTTTTCCCGGACGTAAACTTGGATGGTAGTGCCGGCGCGCATCTAGCGGTCTTTTCCAACCATGAAAACACAATCTTTTCAATATGGTTAAACATGAATGCTGCTCTCTGCATTATCATCCGCCATGGTTGTTGTTTTTCTTGCCGCTTCTGCGTAGCAAGACGCATAATAGTGACGTTTGTCGGGTATCAGTGACATTGGCCTGGCCGTTCACACACAGGTCACGTTTGAAAAGATCAGATTCGTATCGGATTCAGGACCACATAGCCAAGTGGCCTGGGTCGCATTGGGAAAAAATCGTATCTGTGTAGTTCAGACTGCCATGAAAGGATCGGATCCAGGTCGCATATGGGCAAAAAAATTGGATTTAGGTCACTTCAGGCTGCAGTGTGAACGTAGCCTTT